GCTGGACTCTTTTGGATTGCTAGCTATTGGGGTGGGGGGACGTGCAGATCTGTTCTCGCAGAGGAGGGAGAGCTTGTACCTGAATAAAACTTGGTCTTAAAAGTGCCAGTGGACTGTTTTGGACTGGAGGACTGGGGGGGAGGCTCTGTAGCTTACCTGGCTGCTTCTTGCTCTGACTGACAGCTGCTGGGAGCAGGGAGTGGGGTTTGTTACATGTGCCTGCCCCCTGGGCTCTTTACTGCCGGAGCTCCACTCCTGTGCACTCCTGCAGGAAATGACCCCTGGTTGTAAAAATTACATCTGTCACCTGAACTAGATTTTTACCGTTCACCTCTCCCCATCATTCTTCTGCATTTCAAGGTCTGTCTCCTCCACCTTCAGTTGTTTCATTCCCAAATAAAGATTGTTCTGTATTCTTCCCAGGCACCTTCTGCCCCTGCAGCAGTCGCTCCCGCACCAGAAGAGACAAAAGTTCCCATCAGCCTCGTCCTAAGGCTAAGGTAAGTGCGTTGCACCAAAACAGAAATGTCACCAGGACCGACAGACTGGTGGCTGTCAGTCTCGGCTTGAGATGCTGCGTGGTGTCCAGTGGGGTGGGGCTTGACTTAGTTCCAGGAGAGTTCAGGTTCAAAGTACGCTCAACTTCAGGTCCTTGCCTAGAACAGTCAGAAATCCAGGGCTATTTCTGGGCAGGAACGCACAGGAACGGAGTTCCGGCTGGCTCCCGAGTTGGCCACGCCCAGCAGGAACTCATTAACATAACAGGCCACGCCCAACAGCTGAAACGCATTAGGATTGGCTACATTAGGGGTGTGTGGCCTAACATGCAAAGGAGTTCCTGCTACCAAAAAAGGCCCTGGGTTTTGACAACAAACAAGGTAAACAGAACAAGAAGCAAAAGGTGGGTTTGGCTGGATGACCACACTTCTGGTAACATGGGGGTGCGGCCTAATGTGCTAATGAGCTGTGCTGTCAGGGGTGTGGCCCAATAGGCTAATACGTTTCTGCGGTTGGGTGTGGCCTATTATGCTAATGAGTTCCTGCTGGGCTTTTTCTACAAAAAGAGCCCTGCGAGAAATCTATCTGTGGTATAGAAAAGTATGGGAATATTTCGTATTAGACAAAATCACAGACTGGATAGCTCAAGGGGATACTCGTTCCGAACACAAGAGTGCAATCTTAAAATGGAACCGTTTTATGGAATCACAAAGTGATCTAATATCTAATACCAAGCAACCTAACTGGATGGCTCAGTCCTACCTGTTAATCTTTCGTTGAATTAGAATCTATTTGAGGGAAGCGTAAGATTGGGGTTAAAGAGAGGTACGCAAATAAGGGAAGTAGTATGTTTAAGAGTACACTGGTTCAGAGTTAGTTGAACTTCAGCAATTCTTACGTTTGATATTTCACTTGTAGTGTAAGCTAAGTACTGTAGGTTTTCACGCTCTGATTATTGGAATTCTGTATTTGATAGTATTGTATTGTAACCTTGTCTTTTCAGGTATTACCGTTTAAAAAAATAATTAAAATTAATTAAAAAAAAATCTGCTTTGAGTGCTCTGGAGAGCCAAAGCAGCTGCCCTTTCCTCCAACCTCACACCAAAGGAGACCCCCTCTTTAGTCCTGGGGAGACCAATTCCTGATCACTGCGCCCAAATTGCTTTCCCAAGTCTGCACAGAAAATGCTCAGGTGTCACGACTGGATTATAAAACCTGAGGGAGAACAAGTTAGGCAGTGAAGAACAGAAGGTGTCTGTTCTTAAATGTCAATTATGCTTTTAGCGGTTTAATGGGATTTCCAGACCACGGGAAAGATTTTGCACTCGCGTTAAAACAGAAGCTGTTGCTCTGCCGTCCTGCTCGTAGGCCTTGGGGAAGTTAGCCTTTTGGAGAGCCCCATGAAAGAGCTGTAGGATAGGGCTGAACCGAATTGGGGGGCGAGGTGTATGCTGCCTGCTTGGGTTTTTTTGCCACTTTGCATTTCCCCCTCCCAAAAGATTGCTCGAACAGGCCAGAGCACTTTGAACCCGGCACTCATTAAGAGTGAGAGCGGCACTTCTGCCCTCTGAATTGGTTTCTTCCCCTGATTATGAAGCCAAATCTGATTGGCTATGCGGTAGCGTGATGTCACGATCAGGGCTCCCTCTAAGCTGTGGAGTCTTGTGAGCAGAAGCTCTACTCTCTGAGCTACTGGCATTGTGAAGGAGCGATTTGGCTACTGCATAAATCAGTTTGCTCTGGAGCCATCCTTCCCGAGCAAAGACAAAAAATGTGTGAGCTGGAGGCTAAGAAACTGTGAGCTAGCTCACACTAACTCAGCTTAGAGGGAACACTGGTCACGATGCTTGCAATATGATCACTGGTCGACTGGGGCTGAAGCAACATCAGTTGGGGAGCAAAACAGGCTAGGATAGCAGCAAAAAAGCAGGTAAGGCAGATTTCGGGAGATTCTTTCAGTTCCACCAAGTGCTAATTTTATGCCGAAATTTCCATTTATGCGAATATTTGGTAAAGTCCAAGACGGATTGCCGTGGTAGTCTTCAGCAATAGGAAAGAGCCAGAGTCCAGCAGCGCGTTAGAGACTAACAAAATTTGTGGCAGGGGAAGAGCTTGCATGAATCGCTGTTCACGTCTTCCGTGGTGCACGCAAAGCTGAATTGCTTAGGCTGCCCTTTTGGAAGGGTAACCACACGTTCGGGCTGTTTTAATAGCAATATGGTGATAGCCACGCTTTTTAAAAAAATATTTTCATGTTAATGTTTTATATTTATTTATTTATTTATTTATTTATTTATTTATTTATTTAGATTTATAGCCCTCCCTCCCCGCAAGCAGGCTCAGGGCGGCTCACAAATAGGACATGTGCCAATACATAAACAGGTTAAAAGCAACATAAAACCAATCATTTACAATATTACAAGTGCTCCAGATGTTTCAAATCCGTCTTCGATAAAAAGATGGCATCTTAAGATGGTACTCCCAGTTCAGTGGTGTCAGCTCCCCGCAGCGCTGCCATTCACTCCTCACAGGGCCAGTTGGTAATGATGGTAAAGGTAGTGGCGGCTCCTACTCAAAAGCCTGGCGGAAGAGCTCCATCTTGCAGGCCCTGCAGAAGTGCGCAAGGTCCCGCAGGGCCCAGATCTCTTTCGGGAGCTCATTCCACCAGGTAGGAGCCACCACCGAAAAGGCCCTGGCCCTGGTTGCAGCAAACCTGGCCTCCTTGGGGCCTGGGGTCAACAGGAGATTTGCGTCCCCGACCGTAGTGCCTGTTGGGGAACATATGGGGAAAGGCAGTCCCTTAGGTATGTCGGACCCTGGCCATATAGGGCTTTAAAGGTAAGAACCAGCACTCTGAAGCAAATCTGGTACACTATTGGCAGCCAGTGCAGCACTTTCAGCACAGGCTGGATGTGCTCCCGCCTAGGGAGGCCCATCAAAAGCCTGGCTGCAGCATTCTGCATTAGCTGCAGCTTCCAGATTTGTGACAGAGGCAGCCCCATGTAGAGAGCATTACAGTAGTCTAACCTCGAGGTGACCGTCGCATGGATCACTGTGGCCAGGTCATCGTGGTCGAGGAAGGGGACCAACTGCCGAGCCAGCCAAAGATAGTAAAAGGCCGACTTAGCCGTGGCTGCCATCTCTGGCCTCCATAGTTAGCGAGGAGTCCAGGCGCAGTCCCAAACTCCTAACCTCCGGCGCTGGCACCAAAGGCGACCCATCGAAGGTCGGGAGAGGGAGCCTGAACCCCGAACTGCCCTGACTCAGGCCCAGGACCTCCGTCTTCGCCGGGTTTAGCTTCAGCCAACTCAGTCGGAGCCAACCAGCCACGGCTTGCAATGCCCGGTGCAGATCTTCTGGGCTGGAGTCCGACCAGCCGCCTAACATGATGTGGCTTCATTTGGATTACTATGTATACTTCTGGTCCCCGTCTCTCAAAAAAAGACATTACAGAGCCGGAGAAAGTACAGTGGAGGGCAACCAAGATGATTAGGGGGCTAGAACACCTTTCGTATGTGGGAAGGCTGAAAAGTTCCAGAAAACAGACAACCAAAGGAGGGACATGATAGAGGTTTACAAAATTATGCATGGGGTAGAGAGAGAGTTGATAATTTTTTTCTCCCTCTCCCAATATACTAAAACTCGAGGGCATCCAATGAAGCTGATGGGCAGTAGGTTCAGGACAGACAAAAGGAAACACCACTTTACACAGAGAATGATTAAAATGTGGATTTCATTGCCAGAGGATGTAGTGACGGCCATAAGAACAAAAAGCTTTAATGGGGGATTAGATAGATTTATGGAGGATAAGTCTATCAGTGGCTACTAGCCATGGTGACTGAGGGGAACCTCCACATTCAGAGACACTGAAACTCAGAGCAAGGAAGCAACATTAAGGGAAGATCTTGGTCTCTGTGCCCTGCTGTTGGCCCTCCAGAGGAACTGGTTGGCCACAGTTGGACACCCAAAGAAAAGAGGGGGGGGAACTAAACCAACCAACCAAAAACCTCCAAAGGAAGTTTAGAAAACTTATTGATGGCCAAAAGTTAAAAACATAAATAAGTATAGACAAAATAATTTTTATTTCAAAGACATATAAAAACCTTTTAGAGGCCCAAATACAGCGTCATAAAATGTTCAAAGTGACAAATGCACAAATAAGAGCGATGTATGACCTGACACGTTTCAGCTCACAAGAGCCTTCTTCAGAGGTTAAATAGTACAAAGAACGAAATACACCGAGCAACAAAGTCCCCGTAAACAATTAATAATATAGGACCAAAAATGGAATGTTCCAATCTGGAATTGAATGACGCACCAAAAGATTTTTATTGGGGCCCACAAATATATCTGGACTTGTGTCAGAAGTAGTTGCATATACTGGAAATAATATCAGTACCAATATGTACCTTCCAGTTTAGGTCCTAAGAGTGCAAGTAAAATTGCCTTATCAGGGACAATGTGACATCAGTTTGAGACAGGATGCTGGCCTAGATGGACCACTGATCTGATCCAGCAGGGCTTTTCTAGGGTTCTCTTACCTTTCCAAGGACTCTGGGTGGCCACTGTGGGGAATGGAGGTTGGACTAGATGGCTATTGCTCATTATCTTCCTTTCAAATAAAGAACTGGACAGCACTTCACTGGACAGCCCTTTTGGAGCAGAGCTTTACACCTGAATTACGGACACCCCATCTGACCTCCAAGCTTATAATGCTCACCATACTTTCCACCCCACAGATCAGTTTGGCCTCCCAAGCCCTGCATTCTGTGGCCCTACCTAAAGGGCTGAGGAAGGTGGAGACTAGAGACTGGGCATTTTCAGTGGTGGCCCCTCATCTGAGGAATGTTCCCCCAGTTGATGAGCTTACCTTCCTATCTTTTCAGAACCAAGCCAAAACAATTCTTTCCAGCCAAACTTTCTTTTAAGGGGCTTTCTTTTCAACTGTGTTATGCTCTTCTTCTGACCTGAGGACTGGTCTTGGGAGATTTCTGAGGCAACTCAGGGGCTGTTCTATGCTCTTCTTGTGCCCTGTCTTTTTAAATGGATCATTTAGCCACTCATTAGGATTTTATGCTATTGCTTTGATTTTTGAGCCAACTTGAGTATATCCGTGGAGAGACAGGATATAAGTAAATCAATGTGTATTAAAGTGGACCACTGTATGAACATTTCCTGTCAAGATGAGGTACAAACAAGCTAGAATTTTGTTTCCCGGTTTAACTCACACGTGAGATAGTTTTCCTGACCATTCTCAGGGTGCTGCCTCTTGTGAAATCCCTCCATTCTCCAGCTGGTAAAATTCAGCCCAAGAGGAGTCAGACCAGTTCCCACCACACAAATAAACAGATACCTGCTGATCTCTCTGTTTCTTCTGCTTCTTGGACGGATGGATCTCCTGTTTCTTCCACTAGGAACACGGAATCACGGTAAGTACTTGGGAACCCTATATGAGCCAGAGGCTAAAAAACTGTGAGCTAGCTGATACTAACTCAGCTTAGAGGGAACACTGCCCCCAAATACTTTTAGACAGTGGGGGGCGGGCAGGTGGGGCTTTTGCCCAGCAAGGCTTCTGAGTGGCCACTGGAGATTCGATTGGCTGGGGAGATTTTTAGCAGCTGCCGCCATGGCGCTACGTGATTGAAAGTAAGTTGCAGCAGCCGTTTTATGGCAGCCATTTTGCGGCTGCGCCCACCACACTGTGGTGGTCACAGGCTCAGAAAGGGTGGGGACCCCCTGGACTAAATGCAGCACAAATATAGCTGTTCAGGTGTGCTGGGCGGGGGTGGGTGGGAGATTATCAGCTTGCGCCCCAAACTAATAGGAAGCGAGACTATAACTGCTGTGGCGGTGTCCACTGCAGACCTCTGGCTAAGTCGTCTTTACAGAAAGGTGCCTTATGAGCAATAGACACTTAACCAGAGTTCAGGGTCGGACTCCTTTGAGTGGTCCTTTCTCTCCCAAACCAGCAACCAGAATTATATCCTCCACTGCCCGAGATGGGGGGGGGAGGGGGCTTTCAGATGGGGTTGGAAACCTTCTCTTTGACAGAAATGGGATTTGTCTGTACCGGAGTATGGTGGGATCTGAATCGATTCAGAGGATTTCTGTGCCTCTGTGACCCTTTCTTAATTATGTGTTTTCCAGATACTGCCGATGGGGTATCCCAGGAACTCATCTCGGCTGGGCTTGTGGACGGCAGAGACTTAGTAATAGGTAACGCTGGGCGCTCTCCCCCTAACCCTGCACTGTGCTTTGGGGGGAAACGGATAGCCCTATTTCTTCCCTGGAGAAGGGAAGTGCGTTTCTGTTTTTGTTGAGTGCTTCAGGAAATAAGCAATGTCTTGTTGGGAAGGCGAGTGCTTCCACGCCACCGTCTTGGACCGTCTCCACCTTGCCTTTGTGTCATTTCAGTTGCCGCCAACTTGCAAAAAATCGTGGAAGAGCCCCAGACGAACCGGTCTGTCACTTTCAAACTGGTACGTCCCTCTTTCTCCTAATGAATTAGATCTGTGTAAGGGATGGAGCAACTACTCAGGGCTTTGCCGGGGCACGTGGCAGGCAGTTGTCCTATAAATGGTAGTCCTTGGATGATCCATGGTGTGCGGTTTAAGACGGCTCCTCTGGTCATCGTAGAAACAGACTAGAGCAAAATGCTGGAGCTGTTTTCCCTGAACAGAGCCCAGGCCAAATTCCGCTCCCAGTTCTCTCCAAACTCTCTCAGCCCCACCTACCTCACAAGGTTCCTGTTGTGGGGAGAGGAAGGGAAGGCGATTGGAAGCTGCCATGTACTTGAAGCTCTGTGGGTCCTGTTCTGCTTCCTGGGGGTTACAAGTGGGTGCTGGGTCTGGAAAGGTTGAAGACGGGGTCTGAACTGGCAGAGACTGATCAAGAGAGAGATCTTGGCGTCGTAGTAGATAACTCACTGAAAATGTCGAGACACTGTGTGACTGCAATAAAGAAGGCCAATGCTATGCTGGGGATTATTAGGAAGGGTATTGAAAACAGATCAGCCAATATCATAATGCCCCTATATAAATCAATGGTGCGACCTCATTTGGAATACTGTGTGCAGTTCTGGTCACCACACCTTAAAAAGGATATTATAGCTTTGGAAAAAGTGCAGAAAAGGGCAACTCGAATGATAAAAGGGTTGGAACACTTTCCCTATGAGGAAAGGTTAAGGCGCTTAGGGCTCTTTAGCTTGGAGAAAAGACGACTGAGGGGTGACATGATCGAGGTTTATAAGATTATGCATGGGAAAGAGCAGGTAAAGAAAGAGGTACTTTTCTCCCTTTCTCACAATACAAGAACCCGTGGGCACTCCATGAAATTGCTGAGCGGTCGGGTTAGAACGGATAAAAGGAAGTACTTCTTCACCCAAAGAGTGATTAACACATGGAATTCACTGCCACAGGAAGTGGTGGGTGCTACAAGCATGGACGGCTTCAAAAGGGAATTAGATAAGCATATGGAGCAGAGGTCCATCAGTGGCTATTAGCCACAAGGTATAGATAGGGACTCTGGGGCAAGTGATGCTCTGTCATCTTGGTGCTTGGGGGGGGTCAACAGTGGGAGGGCTTCTAATGTCCTGGCCCCACTGGTGGACCTCCTGATGGCACTGGTATTTCTGGCCACTGTGTGATACAGAGTGTTGGACTGGATGGGCCTTTGGCCTGATCCAACATTGGCATCTCTTATGTTCTTATGATGGCTTTTCTAGAGGACTGGGTGGTCAGCAAAGCTGGCGTGCGCTCTTCTCCCTCCCGATAAACCTCTGTTGTCCTCTCCCTCCCTCTCCTCCGCAGGCATCTGGCGTCGAAGGCTCGGATATCCCCGACGACAGCAAACTCATCGGCTTCGCCCAACTCAGCATCAACTAAGACGACACTCCCAAACGATGGTCCCTGCGGGGCGCAGCTTTTGGACGCTTCTCTTGGCCTCAAAGCAAAACCACTACTGCCAAAGAATCAAACTACAGGCCCCTTTTCTCGGGAGCGTTGACCTTCCTTCTTCCCCGAGTAGCCTCACACCAGTCTCCCGGCGTTACCTCCCCCCCCTTCCCCCGCCCCACCATTAGAGACAGTCGACTCGTCACCCGCATTCGCACTCGCCTCTCGCATTACCTTCCTCTCCGATGGGCAGACGCCACCCCTCCGCCGCCTGCATGTTTGTGGTTCATGATTGCCTTAACTATTTAAAGAGAAAGGAAACAAGAAATACTGAAGCGTACGAAACGGGGGGTTCCTCTCACTCTTAACAACTCTTCCGCTTGTGTGTTTGTTCTTCACTGTTTGTGCGTCTGCCCATCACTTTGACCGCGTAGTTTTGTGCCGCTGCAGAGGCCTCGCCGGGGGAGAGGGCTTTGCTTGAGCCCACCTTAAGTCACACCTGGTGGGAAAGCCTCGCAAGCCTGTGGTGAAGATATTAGGAATCCAGCTGGTGAAGGCTTAGATAGGAAGCTAGCCTTCGCCCGATTGGCCTCTTTGAATGGATCTAGGGCAGAAGAAGAAAAATACTAGTAGGCTCTTTTTGTAGCAGGTACTCATTTGCATATTAGGCGACACACCCCTACTGTAGCCCATCCTCCATAAGCTTACAGTAGCTCCTGTAAGCTCTTGGAGGATTGGCTACGTTAGGGGTGTGTCGTCTAATATGCAAAGGAGTTCCTGCTACAAAAAGAGCCCTGCGTACCCCCAAGGTTCAGCTCAAACCCCTCCTCCATCTCTGCACTAACGGAAAACACCCTTGCGGGCCGATTCGTGGCGGTTGTCGTCTTTTTCTTGCTTTGCAATTTGGAAAAAGCCGCTGGACGGGTCACCATCTTGGCCACGTGCTTCTAGACACCCTTGCGGCCTTCTGTGTATATCCCCATACTCACGGGACTGCCCAGAAGTGGGTGGGCACGCAGGCGACAGCGAAGGTGCGTGCCACTTTCTGGGTTTTGTGGTTTTTTTGCAGCGAAGGGATCCTTCCAGGTAGGGAGGCGTAAAAAAGAGGCAGTAAGTCGCTTCCGAAGTGGCATTTTTTGAGTTGCTCTTTGCAGTCCGCTTAACCAGTGCCTGCTTTTCCTCACCTGGGATTGTTCCTTCACTGATGGGCTTCCCACGTAGAAAGGTGCCAGGAAATGGTACAGGCATGACCACTCGTTGATGACCATTAGTCCCCAGTGTTCCTGATAATGGAAAAGTTCTCTGCGGCCAGCATTTCTGTCCCAGGAATGTTGGCGATCTTGGTGTTCTCGTGCCCGTTCCATTCCCTCGAGACCTTTTCACGGGAACGGTCCCCGTGATAGACTTTAAAAAGCGTGGAGACATATTTAAAGCTGGTTTCTCTTCCTTTCGTTTGTCTCGCATCTTAACAGTGGAACCCTGGGAACTGTAGTTCTGTAAAGGAGCTAGGACTCTCCGACTCCCCCATCTCCCCAGCTGACTACAGCTCCCAGAATTTGTTGGGCACAGCATAAGCTACACTGTCCACGACAATGCAAGGGAATCCCTTTAAAAGGTAGGCTGCGGAGGTGGGTGTTGCTAACTCGAACAAAGTTGGGGGTTTTTTTTGGCGCGGTTTAACTTTGTAGAGTAGGGACGCCGATAAGGGCGCAGTCGTTTATAAAATCGGATGTCCTCCAAAAACACGGCTATTCCGAACGAAGGTCGATCATGCAGCGTGGCAATCGGGAGTCGTTTCTCTGTGTGAGCTTGTGTGTGTTTCTGTTTCTTTTCAAGCCAGTTCATTTTCTGCGACGTGTTCTCCCGGCAATTTCAAGGCAAGCCTATTTCAAGGCAAACACACTTATCTGTCCTCGTTTCCGTGCAGATTGGTACATAATGGAACCACCCCTGTTCTGTTTTACAGCAATAAAAAAAAAAATGTTGCCGGTAGATTCATACCTGGCGAGATTAAGCTCCGGACAATGTCGTCCCTCCTCCTGCTGCACTAACTGCTTGAGATTTGCAGTCTTTTTGTTTTCTTTTATACTCTCAGCCCAAGCGTCAAGAGTTTAATCAAGACGATGTAACTGAAACCAATATTACTCGTGTTTAGTCTTTTTTAAAGCAAACAGCAACAACGAAAAGAGTATGTGGTTTTTTTCCTCTCTCTTCCTTTTTTGAATTTCTACGTATAAATTATACTTTTTAGTTTTGGGGGGGGGAGAAACAATTGTAATGCAATATGTGAATAAAAAATGGTGTTTGATTCCTTTTTTTCCCCCTACAGTTTTTTTTCCCCATCCCACAGCGGGCCTTTTTGTGCGTCTCTCTCTCTCTCTCCTTGGCTTCGAAGCATTTTATGCAAATGAAAAAGTTAAGCCTGTAACTGATTTTTTTTTTTTTTACATAGCAGACGAATGGATTTAGGTTCTCAGTTCTGCCTTAGGTCGCACACGGAGCGGGCCCGGCGCAGACCTAAAGCTGCCGCTCACGTAAGCAGCAGAGATCGGAAGCCGCCCTTAACGGCCTTGCTTTCCAGTGTAACATCACTCCTCCTTTCATGCGGCTTCCCCTCTCAATTCTGTCCTTGTGTTTGCACCAAGTGTATAGCTTTGGAAGACGATTAGAAAGCCCCATTTAAGAAGCCCCTTGCTTACTATTAACCACAGTTAAGCATTTGCGTAGATGCTAATACCAACCTTGCATGAGACCAGGGAAAAGAGAATTCCCATCGGAGGGGGACACACGTCCGAAGCTTTACACCGGATGGCTTAACGAAATATCACGAAAACCCATGCGCAAGGGACCATATATTCTGTATGGAGGCTTCCTGGTTTCCCCCCCCACACAACATGTCCCCCCCCCCCCCCCAACAGGTCACAGTCTGTATGGAGGCTTCCTGTATGGAGGCTCCAACAGGTCACAGTCTGTATGGAGGCTTCCTATATGGAGACTCCAACAGGTCACAGTCTGTATGGAGGCTTCCTGTATGGAGGCTCCAACAGGTCACAGTCTGTATGGAGGCTTCCTGTATGGAGGCTCCAACAGGTCACAGTCTGTATCGAGGCTTCCTGTATGGAGGCTCCAACAGGTCACAGTCTGTATGGAGGCTTCCTGTATGGAGGCTCCAACAGGTCACAGTCTGTATGGAGGCTGTATTTCTGTATGGAGGCTTCCTGGTCGTCTCCCCCCCCCCCTTGCGCATGGGTTTTCGTGATATTTTGAGCCTGTATTGGCTGGATCCTCCCAACAGGTCACAGTCAAAGCTGCGGCAATGTGGAGATGACATGAAGAAGAAGGGGAAGATCTCCGGTAGGAGAGCGATACGATAGGGGTAGGTGGTGGCGGGAGGACAGGTAGGCTGACCAATAGGGAATTCTCTTTGGATTTGACGTACCTCTCTGAAGGTTTAGCGTTCCCTACTCTTTCTGGAGCACCAGATTTTTTTCTTTGCACGTGGCGGTTTGCAAGAGAACAGGTTGCCATCTGTCCATTCATGAAAGCCTTCAAGTAGCTTACAGATTTTTTCCCCCCAAAAAAGAAAACTTTAAAACAGGAGGGATAGCAACGAAACAGTCTTTGAGCAACTTCTTTGGGTGGGCGTCTATCCAGGGTGTGTGGGGGGATATCGATGACAGGAGCGGGACTCTGAGGCCCCCCAAGAGATCCGGAAGATGTGGGAACCCTTGGTGCGTTTCAGTTGGCCTGGATTCTCTCGGAGTCCGTGATGGCACATCACTAAAGTGGGCGGTGCTTGCCTCGAGTCCCCACCCCCTTGTGTGACGATGTGGGAAAAATAGGCGGAGCTTGTTGAGGAAATGGTCGCAGCCCTTAAAAGATGAGAGAGGCCAGGTTTGCCCCTGGAGTGGTGGTCAGGGGAAGCCGGAGAATTTATAATGCTCCCTTCTCGCCCTGTGCAATTCTCCTGTCCCGTCTTTAACCCTGGAGACCAAATTATTCTGTTACAGTATTACTTCTCTTTTGCCATACCTTTTCCCCCCTCACTGGAGTACAAACCGATCCAGTGACTTGAAGCAGTATCTATTTATTTACTCCCGTCTGTGCCCAAACCAAGGCTAGCAGACAAGGAGTATCCACGCTGTTTAAGTTCCCTTTTTTAAAAATTATATACCAACCAACCTTCAGCTACTGTTGCTATTAGATTTCTAGGAACACGTCTCTTGGTAGTAATAAACTTTAATTATAATTTTTCTCCCCCTTGGGATACTAAAAATGTTAGGTTAACTATTTTTGTTCTTGAGGTTCAAAGGTGCCAATGCTTTTGTTTTTGTAAGGAATTATTTCTAACATTTTTACCCTTATGGATCAGAGTTTTTGGGTTTTTTTTTTTAAAAAATGGGTAAATTCTAAACTTGAACCTAGAAATCAGTCGGGGTTTTTTTTCTTTTTCTTTTCCATTTTGGACGTAGTCGACACTCTTAAGGATGATGGTGTATTAATATTACAAGATCTTCTACACAATTTTGGTGTACTGTAGATTTTAATGAGAGATGTAAAATATTCAGCCTTTTTTTCCCTTTTGACTTTGTATTTTACTGCATGTATTTCTCTTAATTTTTAATCAATAATAAAAAAACCACAAATTGTCCATTGCCATAAGGTGAAGGGGCTGTGTTTGTTCTAGGGACTCGCACGTGCTCCCTGTGTGGTGCAGAGCTCCAGAGTACCACTGTCGCATTGATGTTATATAAATGTGGCATAGCCCTGCTGGATCAGACAGGGGAGTCCATCTAATCGTGCATCCTGTTCTCCACCAGGAAAACCCCAGTCTGGTTGACCATTCAAGCTGATGCTGGACAGTTCACTGCAGTCCTGTGGGCAGCGAGTGAACTGATGGGTTTTCCAAGGGAAAGGACAGTCCAACTTTCCTCCGAGAGCCAGCATGCTGTGGTGGTTAAAAGTGGTGGACTGGAGAACCGGGTTTGACTCCCCACTCTTCCACACATGAGGCTTGCTGGGTGACCTTGGGCCAGTCACAGGACTCTCAGCCCCACCTCCCTCACAAGGTGCCTGTTGTGGGGAGAGAATGACATTTCTCAGAACACATTGGAGTGCAGGAGAAGGAAGAAGAAGAGTTGGTTTTTATACCTTCTCCCCACAACAGGGACCCTGTGAGGCAGATGGGGGTGAGAGAGCCCTGAGAGAACTGGGACTGGCCCAAGGTCTCCCAGCAGGCCTTGTGTCTCTCAAAGCGGCTTCCAATTGCCTTCCCTTCCTCTCCCCACAACAGGCACCCTGTGAGGGCAGGGGGGGTTGAGAGTCCTGAGAGAACTGGGACTGGCCCAAGGTCTCCCAGCAGGCCTCACGTGTCTCAAAGCGCCTTATAGTCACCTTCCCCACTGCTGGACCTCCTGATGGCACCTGGTATTTTTGGCCACTGTGTGACAGAGTGGTGGACTAGATGGGCCATTGGCCTGATCCAACATTGGCATCTCTTATGTTCTTATGTCCCTCTCCCCCCACAACTGGCACCTTGTGAGGCAGGTGGGGCTGAGACAGTCCTGAGGGAACTGTGACTGACCCAAGGTCACCCAGCAGGCCTCATGTGCCTC